AGAGTGGGGGAGAAGATGAGCTATTGAAGGAGAATGGTTATCTACCTCGAAGCGATTTTAAGTCTATAACTATCCAATGAGTTCTCTATACTCAGAACAAGTAAACTTTTGAAGTCAGACTGTATCTAGGATCTCAAATGCACAGGCGTAAGTAAAAAAGGCTTATAACCGTCCCTGTTTCTTTTTCCCGCCACTAGGTTCCTTAGATTCCAATAGATTCCTATGTTTTCTTTCTTGCCGTGAACTGCATAATGAATAGTCCCAAGCCCCTTTCCGTGCTGCGTTCACTGCCTCGAATGAAACCAACGGTTTTCACCGTTGCCCAGTGCCAGCCTAGCCTGAACGTTTGAAAATGGTTGCCAATGGCCTAAATAATTGTAAAAACATCCCCATCTTGAAGGATAATCTTGTGAAATGGATAAGGACAGACTTCCTAAACTCAATATGTCAGAAAATGTTTTTTGATCTCGAATCACTTGAACATATAGTAAGAATATGATGAAAATGTCGGGGTTGACTATAGAAAGACTCAGTACATACCCATGAACAAATCCCCTCCGGCAAAGTCTGAGCTGTTGAGGTTTTTACAACGTTGCAATGGGCATGCTTCAGATTTATATGCCTGTGCCAAGTGATTTATCGTCCTTCAAATTGTATTGTTTCAGCCTTCCCCTTCGTGTTAGACGAAATGAGCCCAGTGAACTCGTCTTGAAAATAAATCTTGTATACATTATGTAAAACGATTTATTCAGAAACAAAATTGAAAATGCTTATGCTTTGGTTGATTTTCTCTCCGTGAATTTCTTGTCATGTATTTCTCCTGGGAATTCCAACTGAAACAATTCGGATTATTAATTGGTTTGACGTGAATTATAGGGTTCTGAAGCAGACCTATAAATCGTAACGCACAGCTTTTAGGCATTCAGTTACTTTTAAGCTTTTATGACCGAGAAAAATGATGTACTGTTTAGGCTGACATGCTGACCTGTAGATTGAGTGTTCCCATGTCGTACGTTCGCTTCGCAATCGATCCAAGGCTTACATACTCCTGTGGAATGTTGTAGTTGAACTTGCGGTAGCCCTTCTGGAAATACGCAACAGAGTCGAGCACTTGTACAAATCCTATTTGAGAGCCACTGTGCAATGTAAAAGAGAGTGCAATGGAGCAATTGTCTTTTTTTAAAAATACTCTTATAAAACAGTCCGATGCAAAAAAATGTGTGGAGCAATGAATGTGCTCTAGAGTTTACCATTAGGTGTTCAGATTGACCATGGTTTCATTCGGGGTTTTCACCTGGGTGGCGTTGTTGAAAAAGAAAAATCGAGCCCGTTACTATGATGACTGCTAGCTCGAGTGGAACGCAATAGAAATTATAACAAATAAAAGAAATTTTCCCCGAAAGCTCTCACAGTCCTTTAAACCTGGTGTTTGATATTTTTAAAATCACTCCTAGTTGTATTTTAATGCACTATGCACGATTATTCTCAACTTGCACTCCTCTCTGCACCCATTCAAGAAACTGATCAAAAAAAAAAACGCTTGGAAGGGATTTTTGCGCTTATTCAGGATGATTGCAGTCATCGCCATTATTTTGGCTGTTTTCATCTAACTGTTTCTCTCATAATGCTTAATCATGTCTGTTCCTTTACTACATTTTTTCGCTCTACTTATTTCTCTTGAAGGGCGGAGGTAGTGTAGTGGCAAGTGGCGCACTATATCACACGCATGATCACGGGTTTGAATCCAGGACGCTCGCACAGCCGACCAAGCCTTTCATCCCTCCAGGGTCGGTGAATTGAAACCAGACTCGTCTGGGAGGATAAAAGCGCACAGCACATCGACTTGTACATTGGCTTGCCACCGCAGGTCATTGTATAGGACACGTACACACTCATTACGCCACTACGATTCTGAATGGAAGTCGAGTGCGGGGTGCATCCCTCAGACGGGATTGATTAACGCAAAAAGCTTTATCCTTTATACTTCATTTATTTCTCAAGGACTTACTGTCCACGGCGATAAACAAGATGAAATGAAATGGTTTTGACTTGATGTTTTGTTAAATGCTGTTTTGTCGTCGCAGTACGCGTCTCACAAGGTTGGCAATTTATGGACAAAACTTCAGTCTCGAACGGGACTCGAATCCGTACTTGTGCCTTCCGGACACCATGATCCATCCCTTACACTACCGAGGGAAAGCACAAGCACAAGCGGGTTCGGGTTCCGTCCGAGACTGAAGTTTTGTTCATAAATCGCTTGTGATACTTTCGAAATGAAATGGAATTTTTAGATATCTAGTTTGGGTAAAATAAAAATAGAAGCTTACATGAAAGTTAGTGCGAAGGTGGCAAAGGAAAATGTGGCATATTTTGAGGAAAAAAGCTCCGAAAATGTAGTAAAATGGGGATTTTTGAGATTACGGCGATAGAAGCGATTTGGAAGGGTAAAAGAGCTGTCAGCTGCGGGCTATAACGTAGAGCTGGCTACAATGAGCCAAAAATGAACAAGGTGACCTCCCACTGTCGCCATGAGTACGACTAGTTATTTGGCTTTATAAATTGACTGTTGCATTATGAGCGGTATCACCTCTTCATGGCTTGGAAACGGCTGGTTTTCGGTGCGACATACTACAGAGGACACGTGTTTTGAGCCCTTATTACGCCCTATCTAAGCCATTTTCAGTCTGATAGCGCCACATTTGGCATACTTGGAAGTTCGCAGATCCCTCTTGGGGGATATCACGGAGACCAGAACATTTTTACCGTGAACTTTGCTGTAATTATCATGCAGCCCAGATAAGATGTTAATAAAAAAGATCCAGCTAATGATAGCAAATGAAGAGTACCAGTTCAGTAATACTAACTTACCTTGTTAACCTTGGAAGGATCTTCATCGCACGAATGATAGAAAGAGATTACCGGAGTCATGCTGGTCTCGTTTAATGGGAAACCATTTGTATTACCTTCCAACATAAACACTCCAGGCTTCTTAGTTGTCGTCTCAGCGAGGATTTGATTCAAATCTGTAAACTCACCAGTATAACCACTTTCAGTAGTTATGTGTTTGAAAAGAAACTCCTAGAAGCTACAGAAGACTCCAGGGAAAACTGAATAAGGGACGACAGTATTCACGGGGACGCTTAGTTCGTAGATGTGTCGAAGGCGTGATTGATACTATGTTTACTCTCTTGCGACTGAGGTAGGCAAACCAGCCCGTTTGGCCCTTTTGCTGGATGCATTTGCTTATTCTGCGATTCTGTTTAAGGGTCTCATGAACCCCTCAGGGAAAGTACGTGGAGAGTCGCATCTAAATCCCACGTGGAAATTCTTTATACAGTGCACATAGGGCTGCCGTGCAACTGTGACAGTATAGGGTGCTTTAACAGTTGATTCATATATTCATCCAATGTCTTCCACATATTAACAAGGAAGTGTCTTCACCTAAGACTTATAAGCGACTCCCCACGTGCTTTCCCTGAATGGGTTTATGAGACCCTTAAACAGAATCGCAGAATAAGCAAATGCATCCAGCAGAAGGGCCAAACGGGCTGGTTTGCTTACGTCCTTGCGACTTCTACTGCAAATAAATAGTCAAGCGATAAAGTTCTTTTGGCTGATCCGGTTTTAAAATTACTGCTGTCGATTCATCCCTCGTCCCAACGCCCACGATGATTACATTATTGATTGTTACCAATCCAAAATCCAAACAATCCACCCCTTCACATGTTCTAGTTATCATTGCAACTATAACTGAGGCCTATGGAGGCCTGGTGAGAAAAGGCTGAGAGGAAAGGGCTCGCTCGACAAACCATCAACATCCTCCTCTATCGTCTATGAAACAACAAAACCATAACTGACGTACCATCCTTTTTAGGCTGTGGGACACGNGAGGCCTGGTGAGAAAAGGCTGAGAGGAAAGGGCTCGCTCGACAAACCATCAACATCCTCCTATATCGTCTATGAAACAACAAAACCATAACTGACGTACCATCCTTTTTAGGCTGTGGGACACGGAACAAACGAACTCTGACGTTTTCAGCAGGAACCGATCCGCACATTACTTGACCACGTACGGCAACAGCATGCTTGCCCACAGCAGAAGCAGGAGCAGTAGCTGTTGCTGCCAGTGCAACAAGTGAAAGGAACAGAAGGAGACTCCGCATGGCACTGAATAACTGAATAATATCGAATAGAGTATAAAGCAGTGTCCGAGACTAGGCAATCGATGAATCTCGGCACTTTTCTTTCGATGTAAATTTCACTTTTCAGCTGTCAACAAAGATTTCCAAAAACTGAATAATTATTCGGAAAATTTGCGAAAATATTCATTTGCGTCATCTTCATGGCCTCCAGGAGCTGTACAGTCAATCAGGAATTGTTGAGGATCTCGGCTGCTCAGCTCAAGAAGTGGAAGTCTTACATTGGAAGAATTTGAAAAAAAAAAACTTCGATGCAAAATCAAGTAAGAAGAAACATGATTAAGTTGATAAGAAACTACAGTACAAAAATGATAAGTTTGGCTGATAAGGTTGCTGAGTAAGCAAAACTTTCAAAAAGTTCAGAAAACGCCGACTGTTAGCACAGATAAGCGCCAACAGCAGCAGCGCTATGTTTACACCAAGCCAACGGTCGATTCACGTCTTATCATTGCATCGAAACAACAGCTGATGAGCAACCTCTGTCTGGCCCCTGCAAAGTACTTGAGAACCTTTTTTTTCATCTTTCGAATCCTTTGGTAGAAATGCCAGAGCTTGTCCAGGAAGGAGTTGGTAATTACTAGTAATATTCATTTCACTGGGTAATTATGTTCTTAATTACAAGTCCTAGTTACTCCTATACAGTCGGCGAGACGTTTTGAGATCACACTGGGTTCAAAATCAAATAGAAACTGTTGGAGCTTTTGCTCAGTTGTGTCTCCGTCAATCGTTTGCCGCAAGGACGCTGTAAGAGCTATTACATTGTAAAAACGGTCTCCGCTATGAGAAAATGTGTTGTGTGGCTAGAAAAATCAATTCACCGATTGCATAGTGCAACAAATGTCCAAGAGCCTTCTTGCAATGAGAGCATCTTACGTCAGTTCGTAAAGGGGTTGGTACAGAAACGGACCAGGAGCGGCAGACGATGATCCCGCATGAGGCTGTGCACGCAGTTCAAATATTGTTCACGAGTTTGCTACAGCAATCGATTAGATAGCCTTCGCTAGACTTCAGGTACCAAAAAATGGTGGGCATAAAGTTTGCAGATGCCTTACTTCAAGGTCAAAGTTGTTTAGGCATAAAAAAGTAGGTCGAAGAGTGAAAACGGTGTAAGACCAAGTGATGCACTATCATGTGCAGAGTTCGGGGATCGAATCCTGATTGATTCACGTTCAGGCTATCCAGGCATTGCATCGCTCCGAGCTACGATAATTGTTGTCGGGCTCTTCTGGAAGGAATAAATAATCATCAATATCAGTCGATGATGGCAAGTCAGGGTAGAGTCAGGGTCACATCAAGCAATCAAAACTGTGTACGATTCTGCATCCAAGCCAATTGCGAAATTGCAACTAAAAAAAGGGATCGGTGAGCCGTGTTCAATTGGGAGTTTTACTATTATGTTATCAGGCTGAACATTTACAGCCACCCCTTTACATATCATTCAAGAAGAACATCCAGAGTTCATCAAAGGATTTCACCAGGTAAGATAAAATCCTTTGTGGAAATTTTTAGGCCGTTCCACGCCAAATGTTGTACTAATGAGGTGCAGTGGGTTTCGACGGGATGAAAGAATTACTGAGAACGCAGAACTTTGCGCTAAATTTCACAACTTTCTGCTTGCAATTAGAGGTTTTCATAGCTGACAATCTTACATTGGCATGAACCAGTTTGGATTGTTAAATCTCCTACGAAACCGTACATGGTCGACATGAGTGAACTCCAGTGTTTGTGACCATCCATACGAGGCCTCCGACCCTAGCTGTGTGGGTATCTTTGAATGCGCAATTTCTTCGACAACTAACCAGAAGCCAATCAGAGCACCGCAAAGCCGGTATCCTTTCCTTGAAACCATGTGGCGCGTTCATAGTGCAACCCCGACGCCATTAACTGTCGTCGACCGATAATACACGAACCAGCGACGAATGTGCAGCTGCTGGCCCGCGGTAGATGGTTGAAAAGGAAGTGTTTTGGATTAAAAATTGGAAACGAAGTTTTGTTTTCGTTTTTATTTTAAGTTCCTGTTCCATATTGATGGAAGGGTAGAAAGGGGTAAGGGTAGAAATCGATATATGGGAGAAACCTTATTTCCTGCTTCGTATACTTGTTCGTACTACTAGGTGTTGTACGTCTTTCACCATTTTTGAAGGTTTGCCTGTTTGTTTTGCTCTCCGTTCATTCTTTGTTCTCATTACTCTCGAGTTGTCAAATCGCCCATCTGTAAAAAATAAAGCAATTTGGCCGACCTGCCAGTCCTTTTTAGCAGAGCAAGTAGTAATCCCCCTATATTAAAGTGTTTGAAGGGAGTGCAACAAGCTACGCGAGCATTTCATATAATATATTCATTATTTATTTCATATAATATATTCATATATTTCATATATAGCCTCATATAATGAAGTAGAGGAGCTTGGCAGAAACGGAAGAGACGAAAAATCGAACTTTGCCAGAGGTGATGATTCGCACACGATTAAAAAGCAACGATTTTCTGCTCTTTATCTTTAAAGAAAACATCAATCGAAGGTCCTTCCCTTCTTCGAGTCTTTAGGCGAGGCGACTTCCATCGGGTCCTCGCTTCGCTGCCGCCTAATCTAGAGAGTCGTCATCAATCAAGCTGCGCAACGCTGCACAGGTTCGTTATATAATCGGCTTGTAGGAGGATACTAAAATGTGGTATACGGCTCAGCGATGATAGAAAAGGTTTGATGTGGATTTGTTACAAGTGAATAAAAAAGACTCACTGATTCCTGATTGTGCTGACCTTCGGTGACGATGATTGGCTAACAGAAGCAGCTGCTATTGTTCGTTTGGCTAGGTCGACTCTCATATACACATTGAATACCTTTGATACTTTGGACCGATGTCGAAAGTGGACACGGTGTGACACAGTCCATCAACTCAGTGGACACGTCCTTCCACTGAGTTGAAGGGCTGTATCACAGCATCATTGTTTTTTATTCTAATTGGTGACCCAACGCCTTGTTCGTCGATGCCGCGCCCCCGCGCTTTGATCTGCCCGTGACCCCTAATCGATATGGGCGCATATATAAACCCTCGACGCAAAGGCTGACATTTCTTTTCCTTTTCTTTTTTTGGTTCCGTTTGGGTCGTTCTCCTCTGGGCTAGGATTCAACCCCCCCCCCTTGTCGTTTATTCTCCATATATTCTAGTTTTCTCGCTCTTTCTGAGTCTTTTTTTCGTGTCGGTGCTTTATGAAACTTGATTTCACAGCTGTCTATATCGCCATAATTTTTTTCTGTGCACTATTTTGTGCGTTGGTTCTGTGTTTTTTGTGTGGCTCTAATAAAAATATTTGTTGTCTGTCTTCTGTTGTCTGGTAAACCGTGTCAGTGCCGCCGAAAACTATCTACTGCTGAAATTTTTAGGGGAAGTGGGGTATGTGCCGTATTTGTAAATTACATACTTGTGATGCAGGCCAAAATCAAGTGAGTTGGAACTGTTCTTTTGGCTAGGACAGCTCTCATATATACACTGAATTCCTTTGATATTTTGGACGGATGTCGAGTGTGGGGCATGTCCCTCCACTGAATTGATGGGCTGAAATTTTGAGGGGAAATTGGGTATGAGCCATATCTCCGAATCTCATGCTTGTGATGATTGTAGGCCAAAAAACGATTGTATTGAGACTGTTCTTTAAGCTAGGTCGACTCTCATGCATACATTGATATTTTGAACAGATGTTGAGTGTGTGGCATGTCCCTCCACTGAGTTGGTGAGCTGAAATCTTAAGGGGAACCTTTTATACTTTTAATCATGGTTTTCATGGTGATGTCGAGGCTCAAAATGCAGAAGATATAGGATGGAAATTGATTTCTACATAATTTAATCGAAATTACTTGTCTTGGCTGTTGGAAATATTTGAAAAATCACTCATTGTGCATATTGAAAACAATCAAATATTTCACGATACTGACCAAATGGTCTACTCGTCATAAGCCAGAGCGTTATGACTTACTAGGAGAGAGGTGGCTTGTATCTGCTCCTTGCCTTGGGGCTTCCTTAACCGCGTAGCAGTGGCGACCAGATTCGACGGCGTTGCATAATTCAGAGCACGCATCTACTTCAGCCGACGCCCAGGATGTCGATACGCAGTTCGCGAAGGACATCCGCTCGCTCTACCACGCGTGGTCCTGTGAGAAGTCGGACGGGAGCCACGGCAAGTGCTAGAGTCTTGCGGAGTTACAATCAAATCTCGAGGAAGAGAAAAACTTACTGTGGGAATGGTATTGAGTCTTCGCCCCGCTACCATCTGATTCAGAGAACCGTAATCAGTCACGCTACGCAACGTTGCACAAAACCGCTGTATAATTCGCTGGTTGTAGGCAGCCGGGCCGGCTCGGCTCTCGCGGCTCGCCTGACGCACACGTTTACGGCCCGTGGTTCATCACTTTGCAAGTGTGACCATGCTGTCCTGACCCTTCTCCCATAACTGTATACATCAATTATATATTTTTACGAAAGGATGCGTTGTTTTTGTTTCATGATGTTTCTTAAAACTGGACAGATCTGAAGAATACCGCTCTGTCTGTCGCTCCCCATATTTCCCCATAGCGAAGTTTTTACGTAAACATAGAATGACTTTTATCGAAAACGCGAGATGGAACGAGAAGCTAAGGCGAAGCAACTAAATATAAAGCAGCTAAAAGTGAACATGTTAGTGGTACCTAATATTTCTTGCTTATGTTAGGCAGTCTCATGGATTCATTTTATTGTTGAACTAATTATTGTTGTTGTTGCTGTTGATGTTGCACAGGTTATTATAAAGGCGGGTTTTTAGAATGTTAACTTGCGGTAATCTTATTTCCTGGTAAACGTAGCTAAATTATAAATCTTTTGAGAAGGAGCCATGCATTCGTAACCAATCATACAATACGATTATCACTTACTTCAGTTGCTCGAATCCTTTTTTATTTTCAAATTGATCATATGCGAAAGTATGCGATCGTGCA